TGTCACGCAATTTTCAAAGTATAAGGAGATTTTACGCTGAATTTCAAAACCACAGAGGAGTTACGAACAATTTTATCTAGAAAATAATCTTTATGCACAAAAAGAAACATCAATAATATCTCATCTTAGTAACAAACCTAGGGTATAATTGTTAAACTATCTAGTAATTACTATGTGATCATATTTCTCCCATCCCATTCTAACCGCTTTATTTGTTTATTTTTCGTTCTCATCGAAAATGTCGGGGCAGCCGGTTGAAGTGATAACTGATGATAATTAGTAGTGTTCAAAGGCTAATTCAAAAACATTTCTTGAACAAGCTTCTGCATGTTAATTTTAGAACAATTGAAACGATGAAAATTAGAATTGATTGGAAACAATAAAAAAGGAACCATTCAAAAGGACTAATAAAATAAGCAGCGGTTTAGGTGCTAATTCTGTTATAACACTATAGATATTTTTTGTATTATTTATCTTAGTTTAGGTACGAGTTTACTAATATATATATTTTTGTATACTTTTATTTTTGTAATAATAGAATTTTCAAAATTTTTTCTCAAATTCTAATATAATATCAGAGCTCGATTTTTTAAGTTCAAAATCCTAGCCGCCGCTGGCACTGTTTGCCGTCAACCGCCGTGATTCGGTCGACACTGTCATCTCCGTCCGACCACCCAAATTTCACCACCAACCGCCGGGTATCCGCCGCTCATGCTGCCGACGCAAATCATGGCAGAAAAGGAATTTACGCCGTCGTCTCCGGCCGACCACCCAAATTTCACCACCAACCGCCGGGTGTCCGCCGCTCATGCTACCGACGCAAATCACGGTGGAAAAGGAATTTATGCCGTCGTCTTCCGGCCACGCGTGAGGTCACGTTCAGCCGTCGCCTCCTGCTTTGATTTCCTACGTTATCGTATGATTGGTTTTTTCATGGAAGTTAATTTTATTTTGCTATTGTTACCGAGTTGGATTATTTGATCTGATTTCTTGATTTGGATCTTGATTTCGTAATTTGCATAACTTTTGCTATGGAGCATATGGATGTTCACTTTCTTATTACTATTATCTTGTCAAGAAATAATCATGATATTCAGATGCAATCTATAAAAAGTTTCCTGATTGATAGGAAGTTATGGTGTATTGTCATTGGCGGTATCCAGCTAACTATTTCTACATCTCCTCTTGTAAGTGTTGATCTTATACCTCTTGGGAGAATGAAGATTATGTTGCCAAATTTGAATATTGGGATAGTAAGAATCATAAGATCCTTACTTGGTTGCGCAATACCTCTGTATCTGTGAGTCAGGTATAATTGACTCATTTTCAGACTACAACTTTTGCTCATTATTATCAGGTTTGGACTACGCTGAGCTCCATCCTACAACAACCTAGGCAATCTGTTAACGAGTTTTTTGCAGGTTCAACCTATTTGCTATCATTTTCGGAAAGCACAAATTAGTTAGGACCATATTGACCTTATTTAGATCTTGATGGCCCTTCGCCTTTAATATGAAACTGTTCGTGCATCACTCCTACATCAACATCCATTGTCTACTCTTGATGTTGCTATTCAAGATATTATATTTGAGGAGACGCGACTCGAATTGGCTATGACCCAGAGTTTTAATTCTGTTGTAGCTGTGTCTCGACAGTCTTGATCTCCCAATATTGGATGTTGAGTTTACAAGACTTCTTATTACACTTTTGCTACATGTCCGAAGACTGAGTGTCATATATGTTATTTACGTGGCCATATTGCTCCGGCTTATCCTACCAAATCTCAGCGTTAAGGTAGTTATGCTCTCTGACATTCCGGTAGTTCTGCTCTCACATATTCAGTTGGTTCAGCTTTCAAACATCGGGAACCTAGTGGATCTTCTTCGACTGCTTCTTTTTCAGTTAGAGTTGCTGCTACTAATGAATCTCAACATTCGTCTTATACTCTTCACAACATGGAAGTCCTTCACAAATAGGTTATTCAATCCAATTCTGCTCTGCTTCCACTCTAGGTACATCTACTTGGTATTTTGATTCTCATTGTTGTTACCACATGACCTTAAAGCCTCATAACTTGTCCTTTGTGTCTCTTGTCTCTCATTCACTCCCTATACATGTTGTGAATGGTACTTCCATGCATATTATCCACAAAGGTCTTATGTCTCTCATTCCCTATATTTTTCTGATACATATTGCATTTTTTTCTTAACCTTAAATCTTATCCTTGTTGGTCAATTAGTTGAACAAGGTTTTACCGTTATATTATCTTCTTATGGTATGCAGGTTTAGGATTCTTATACAAGTCAGCTCCTAGGGACGGGCCGCAAGATGGGCCGATTATTTGAGCTTGAGTCTCTTCTTACCTCCTGCACGTATCCCTGCTCAGCAGCTCTCACCTCTGATCCCTCCAATCTTCATTCGTATTTTCTTCTAGGTCATGCATCTTCCAGTAACTTGTAGTCACTCCATACTAAAGGTCTTTTAGGTCCATATTGTTTTAAGTCTTTTAATTGTGTCGATTGCAAATTTGGTAAACAACATGTTCTTAGTTTTTCAGAAAGTTCATCTAATGCTACCGAACCTTTCTTTTAGTGCACTCTAATATTTGGGTTCCCTCTTTTGTTTCGTCTATAAGTGGTTTTTAGTATTATGTTCTCTTTATTGACGATTTTTCACAGTTTACTTGGATTTCTTTTTTGAAAATCTTTTTGAACTGCCGATTATATATGTTCAGTTTGCCCAGATTATTCAAATTCAATTCTCATGTCCTATTAAAGTCCGCCGTACTGATAATGCTTGTGAGTACAACGATTCATCGCTTTTGTAATTTCTATCCAATCAAGGTACCATAGTACAACGTTCTTGTCCTTATACGACTCAACAAAATGGGTGGGGAGAACACAAACAGTCATATTCTCGATATTGTTCGTGCTCTTCTTTTTTCTACTAAGTGTCCTGATCGTTGTTTGGGGGAAGCTGTCTTGATTGTTGTTTACATTATTAATCAGTTACCCTTGTGTGTCCTCCATGATGTTAGTGCTTTCAAGCGTTTATTTGGTCAGCCCGTTGATTATAGTTTAGTCAATTCCTTTAGTTATGTGTGCTTTGTCCTCCTCCCTCCTCATAAGCAAACAAAACTCCAACATTGGGCCCGTTTATGGGTTATGAATTCAAACACAAGGGCTATAGATGTTGGGATCCTATTTCTAATCGGTTGCGTATTTCCTATTGTGTCATATTTTGGGACCACGCCTTTTTCTCTATCTTATCCAAGTTTAGCACACAGATTCCCTATCTTCTCCATTATTTTTTTTTCTTGTCTCTCTTATCTCTTCCAAACACTCTTTCTTCCTCTTCGTCATAGTTCATTCATAAATATGTCTTATCACCATCTTATGGAGTTGATCCGTTTGCGTCTCCTGAGCCGCCGCCTCCTTCTACGCCTCTCTCTTACTGCAGTCGCTCCACCGGTGTAAGTAAACTTCCCATTTTGATTATCATTATTATTCTGTCATTTTATCTTACTATGACCCTAGATCATTTTGTGAGGTGAATGTTGATCAATTATAATAGCAAGGTATGACTGAGGAATTGTATATAAATGGAAAAAAAGTTGCAAACATCTTAAAACGTACCAAATTAGAAATAATGAAGAATATATTGAAAAGAGTGAAGTTGTATTTGTTTGTAATTTATTTTTATAATTTTTTATCATTTATAAATATTTTTCCTCTTGAAATTATTAATAAACACATATTTTTTATATTACTAAAAAAACTTTTTAAAATTTATAAATTTCCAAAAACTATTTTAATTCAATCCATAGCTTTTTTCTTTTTTTTTTTAAGTTTGGAAAATAAAATAAAAGAAAGAAAAGTTTTTCTTCTTTTTCTTGTTGCTTGAGTATAAAATATTCAATTGAATGTAATAGTAATAATAAAATAAAAATAAATATAAAAATAACTTCATTGTCAAATTAGATTTCATACATATCATTTGATAGAATAAAAAAGGTTCGGCAGAGTACTGACCAAGTCAGTCCATCCGCACAAAAAAAAAAAAAAAAAAATCTTTCAAATAAAAATTCAAATATTAAAAAGTTTTTATTATTATTTTTAGTTCGGTTGTTAATGTGTTCGATCCTTTCGTTTCAATAAAAAAATAATAATAAAATAAATCCTAATTTGTGTATCTCTCTATCACTTTATAGAATAGAATTCTAATATAATAGAGAAAGAATAGAATTCTAATATAATAGAGAAAGACTTCTTTACTTTATAGGAACATTATGTTATGTGAAATGTAAGTATTATCTTCTTTAGTTGGGAGAGATGGTTGTGTGGATTAAAGTGTAGGATTACTAATCTGATCCAATACCTATATCTCAAATCCACAAAAAAAATACACTCCATATAATTTTGATGGTTATAACTTTATCATTTTATCCATATTATAAAATCATATTTACAATAGTAAAAGAAAAAGGAAATGCATAAATAAAGAAGAAGTTACAAAAATTCTAAAATATTTGAACTTAAAATAACAAAAAAAAATTTGAGGAAAAAATAGTCAGTGAAACATTTGTGTTTGGCAAGAGAATTTAGGTGAGGAGTATTAAGTATAATAATTTGAGATAATTTGAATATTAAGTGATGTGATTGAAGAGAGAAATGATTATTTATTTTTTTATTTGTAACAAAAAAAAAAAAAAAAGAACTATTGTAGGATGTTTGGGAATGAGGGAGTATAACATAACATTCCCCACATTCATTCTTCTCACTTGACTGTAGAGTGAGTTCAACTTACCAATTAAGATGCTTCAAGATAAAAGGATAAATTGCAATTTTTATTAGTATAAATAAATACATATTCGGTTATCACCTTTATTTTATAATTTTACAAAATCAATGATTTGGGATTTGTTTCTTTTTTTTTAGGATCTGATGAATTACACATATTCTCAAGAACAAACATATAGTATATCTTTTCCTCAATATATCATATTTAATATTTATTTAAATAAAAAATAACCTTGAAAATCCAATCAAGACCCAAATAGTAATAACAATACACTTGATCCTTAATGTGATTGTGGGCATAATTACACATAACAAATACAAATTTATTTCTGAATGCATTTATCTATATATATCTGTTTTGAGCAAAAAAGATGAATTAAACACAATATTGATACCGAAAGCATGCATAACAGCATAATGGATTTCCATATGAAAACAAAATTGGACTATATTACATAGAAAGATATCAAACAAACAAGAAATGGCCACCAAAACCAGAAGTAGTTGTCTAATTATAATCTCATGCTTCTATTCTTTGCTTTCAAATATAACGTCAGCTTGCAATGCTAGTGCTAGTGCTAGTGCTAGTGCTAGTGCTAATGCTAATGCTAATGTTGCCTAACGCTCTGCAAAACATATTATTCACTATTCACCACCAAAGAATGCCACAACCAATATATCCCTCTATCCCCAACCCTTTCCTATCCTATGGGACTCCACATTATTATTATTATTATTATTATTATTATTCTCTAATTTGTACCAAGAAAACAAAACAAAAGAAACCAAAAGGCTGTGTGACAGACAAATGTGAAGGAACCAGAAAAATACCAAATTGTTGTCTCGCAAGGCATTCACACGGTGTTTAGAGAAATTCCCCGCCAAATGAGCAGTTAGTAAGACCCCATTGGTGGCATTCCAAACTGGGACATTGGAGGCATGCCTGGGATGCCCATGGGCAGTGGTGGGGGTGGCCCTGAATTGAAACCCCCGCCCATACCCGGCATAGTTGGAGCGGGTAAAGCAAGGGGCAGCAACTGGGCGTACATATTCTGCACCAAAGAATCAATCAAACAAGTCAAACATCTCTGTTAGTAACTAGTACTTCATCATGTTATTAAAGATGGCACAAATTGGCTTAAAACAGAATACCGGTCTGTATCCTTCACAGTTAGCTTGAAAGAATAGATAAATAAAGATAAAAAAAAAAAAAAAAAAGAGCAATGCATGATTCTTTCCGGACGAGAGTGGTTGACGCTTTGCATGTAATGAATGAAAATAAGAGAGTTGAGAGTACATACTTGTTGCTTCACAACATCCTTCTCCTCCTCGTCTTTAGCTTTTTCTTTACTTGCATTCTCTATCTTATCCTTGATTAGTTCATCAACTTTGCCACTATATTCTCGGATAAACTGCGAAGCAATGAAATATTATGCCAGTGCTATACAGAAGTTACAAAAATATAAACGGAAATGAAACAGAAAAGAATGGATGCAGAATCACCTGTAACAAATATGGAAAAGTAAAGTCTATCATGTTATTTATCCAGGCAAGTTCGAGTGCACAATCCGGACGGATCAAATCGTAACAAACAAAGAGGCATGAGGCAAAGCACTCCTTCTTTCCCTACAAGCACATAGCAACAATTCAGATACCAGAATCCGACCATCCATATATTCCTTGGTAATATGAAGGAACCAATAACCATGTCAGCTAAATATTACAAACTTAGAACTAGCTGCACAAAGAACAATAATACAGTATCTCTTGAACAATTGCAACAGAATATTAAAAGGTCAACTCTTCGAGCAAGATATTAAACAAGTAATTAGTTTTGGTTAACAATGTACATCAGAGATTGAGGGACCCAATATAAATCTATATTAGAATAAATGAAAGAAGAACTTTTCACTAAAGGGGGGTGGTGCTGGACTAGATGGGTTTAACGTGTCCAGTCCCCACCAGGCTTCTTTCAGAAAATTCACATATTTTGTCTGGGTAATTGTACCAAAACAGGAAAACAAATTATAAATGCTGCAATATCTCAAAATAAATATAAATTACAGATTACATGATGCATAGTTCAACAGGAAGAAAAGGATCTTAAAAAAAAATGGTTTTAATATGCTTAACAAGTGACATTGTTAAATATCTGAAATAAATAAATAAACAAATAAGCTTAAGGGTTTGTTTCTTTTGAGAAAATTCTCACACATTTTACCAAAACAATTACTATATCACACACTCATTATTTCTATATTACCTATACAATTCTCTATACCTCACATAAAAAAAAATTCTTTCAAACCAATACACAAAACAAACACACCCTAAGTATTTATCCGATTTATTTAATATAATTGTAACAAATACTTTTCGTGAATGAAATTGGGGCAGGAGTCAGATAACCTGACCATGATCTCTTGCCCCCGTTATGTCCTGAAATTTAAAATTCTTGTCCCATTCTCATTCCAATTACCAATTACCAATTTTCAATACCAAAATCATTACATCCTATGGCTACCCTGTCTACGTCGCATGCATAGTGCTATTAGGAGTTTGACATGCAGATCACAGAATGCAAAGGTGTAAACACCATTATCCAATGTACCTGTTCAATTAAGTAAACAAGCAACTCCTCAGCTAGTTCACGATCACCAGATTGCGAAGCTGTTTCTATTGCATCTTTATAAAGGCTATCTTTTTTCGACAAGGCAATAGACTGCTTCCATTTGCCAGCCTTCTTGTATATGTACGCTGCAACACGCCTCATCTCAAGCAGTTCGTGCTTTTCAATCTGTTAGGCAAAATGGGGTATTAAGCACTATCTTGAAGACAGCATAAAAAAAGTATTTAACAAAATCACAAGTCAACCCACCTTTTGAGCAAGGCCAATCTGATCAAAGTTATCATGTAAATCAATTGATTCCCGTAGTCTGTCATAATCTTCCTCCTCGACATAAGTTTCATTTAGAGCTTCATTCACAGCCGACACATTATTGCTCTGAACTGCTACCATATATGGTTTAATAAGGCGCAAGTGACCCGCCTAATTGGAGTAAATAATATGTTTCAGAAGCTGATGCTATTAAACATATATGCGTGTGAAGTAGGGTTAATATACAAGAAGTAGAAGTATAAACCTTTCTCATAATGTCCACAACACGAGTGTGATCCAGACGAAGAGCAAGAACATTCAGAACATCATTTATAAGATCAGGGTGCTCTTGCAAATAGAAGTGCACAGCCTTATAATACAGCTCCACATTGGCAACTTTGACAATGATATCTTTGAATTGCATGTGTTCCCAGGCTTCTGGAGAATGATTCATGACAGTTGTTGCGGCATTATCAAATTCATCATATTGAATGTATAAGTAGGTAAGTTCTTTCCAGTGTTGTTGTTCATCACATGCTCGGATCAGCTTGGGAATATTGAGACGAGTAGAGAACAGTTTGATGTGCTCCATGAGCTTGTCATGGCGGTATCTGGCATACAGGACACCCAGCTCTGTGAAGATACCCATGTGAGCACGTTCTAAACCTAGACCACTCTCCATAAGAGATATAAGCTCGTTAAAGCATCCTCTGTTTTGATAGTATTCACTAACCTCCTCAAGGTCATCCACCTGTATGAGTAGACAAAAGCATCAAATGATATAATTACACATCCCTCATTGCAAAAGTTGAAAGAACGAATCAATTTTATAAAGAATCCAACACTGGGATTAATTTGGTATTCAGTTAAGAACCTGTATAATGATATTGAGGCCACAAATCTGGGCCAAGCGGAACTCCTCAGCATCCACACAAGCAAAACAGACTTCCTTCCATGTCTTTGCACTATTTGCCTTCCGTGCTGCATCCACAGCACCTTGGAATTGATTTAACTTCACTAGTGTAATTGCCAACTTGCCCCAGTTAGATATAAAAGCGAATATAATCTTCGCAGCCTCATATAGAGCTTCATCATACAAGCGATCACCAACATTAGGTAGGTTGGCAACATTTGGCATAAGAATAAATTCTTCAATTTCTCCGAGCCCATCTATCCTAGCATATGCATAAATGAGCTCACTGTCCACTTTAGGTTCCCTCGCCTTTTCCCTAACCATGATAAGATATTTCACCAAGTCATGGTACACATTCGCTTCTTCTGCAGCTCGAATTACTTCCAGGAATTGAGTGGCATCATCAGCACGAATAAATGACTCAATTGCATCACTCACCATTCCTTCCCGAAGTTGCGCTTTAGCAACTTCACTCCAAACAGCATCCTCTTCAACACGATAAGCAAATTCTACAGCTCGGTTGATATCACGAATGTTATCCAATAACACATTAACAGCCCGGACATTCAAATTGAACTTCTTGAATATAGCAAATGCTTCTTCATACAATTGAGCTTCCACAGCCACTTCACCAACAGCTGGGCCATCAAAGTTATCAAGTCTATTAATATAGTCCATAACCCTGGATGGATCAGCCTTGATTGCGGTCAAGATAAGTAAATTCTGCAGGTTGAAGTTTCCGCTGAATGCAGAATTTTGAAGCACGATCTTTTCAAGTAATTCAATTAGTTCATGGGGAAGATCAGCAGTCATAAAAGCTTTAACAGTCGCGGAAACTTGCTCTGGGCTTTGGCTTTCAGGTAAAGCAGTAGATACAACCTGATCAATGAGCAACCTTCTAAACTCATTTTCAGGATCAAGAACTTTTGCCCAGAGATCAGCATCCATTCTTTCAACTACATACCTGAGAAAGGAATGACGGTTCATCAATCTCTAGAAGAAAAAATGAAACTAATGCACCACTGCTAATACAACACAATCACAAACCTAGCTTGAAGCTTGAACAAAGAGTTCTTATTTGTCACATTAACAAGTTCATCATCACATTGACCTCTTTGGTATGCAACGACAGCGAGGGTAGGATCACGCTTCTCACAATATTTACCAACAACACGTGAATCATAGTATGGGTTCGTGGTGAGGAAGTGTTCTGGATTATTGTTGCTGTCGATTATGATTTTACCCAAAGCATTGTGGACATGCACATCTTGGCTTCCTTCACTGACAAGATGCTCCAAGAACTGAGTAAGCAGACGAAGACGATTCCTGCATATCGAGTCTTATGCGTAAGTGAACCAAGGCTAAAGGTCCCTCAAAACAAAATTGTGAGAACAAATATGGTACCTTTTCTCACATTGCTCCACCAGAGGTTCAACTGGAAGCAGAGAACGGACAGAAAGTATAAGACCTTTAATAAAATCTTCAGGGCACTCATCATCTAAGAGCTGCCCAACAACTAACGGAGCATTCCCTGGATTGACCTATATTATATAAAAAATAAATAAACAAATAAAAGGATTACCACTTATGACAAACCATTTTTTTTTATCTAAATAAAATTTCAATAGAAACGGACACCTTCTGCACGTAACCCTCAATATAGCGAAGCATGTTGTTTGAGTACAGATAATGTGTGAGGTCAGGCACAAAACCAAAGCGGTCACAAACATTAATCAATGGCCGTGCATCAGGAAGCTTTGCTTCCATCAGAAAATTCTTAGTCTTTTCAGGATCATAGAAATCGGATTCTCTTGTTACACGCTCCACCTCTTTAATTTGCCCAGTCTTGGCAGCTGCTTCAATGTACTTGAAGTGGATCTCAGGATCCTCACTGCCATGCATTAATAATTAGTGTGTCAAGTAATTCAATTATGAATAAACATGCCATCCATTGACTATTGCAAACCTAGTCCACTCTAGAAAGATCACCTGGAGCTAAGATATGAACCCAAGAAGAAGTACAACCCTTCGTATGATTTAAACTTCTCAAAGAGCTTAATGCATTCTTCAACTCCCAATTGTTCACAGTATTCTTTGGCAACCTACATAAGTAACAGTAGCCAATAGGACAGCATAAAAATATTACATTTCATCACACAACTGAATGCCATACCTATCGCTTGATGAGTCTAGAATGAAAAAATCATATCAATTGTCTTGAATGGCCAAAAGACATGATTTTGCATTTTTATTGGCGTTTAGCTTTCTTACCTGAACAATTATCTGAAGATTTCCTCTTAAGTTGACCAATAAAAGATCCTTCATACACTCCAGTGCCCATTCCTTGGAAAGTGTCCCAAAGAACTCCACAAGATTCTGAAATGAATCAATAACCAAGAATTAATGCAATGGCTTAAAGGAACCAGAGAGAAACAACTAGATTTTGGTAACCTGTGGCTCAATTGCATGAGTATTCACAATGACACGTTTGATGTCAGGCAATTCTGAGTAATGCTGCAAGCATGAAGAAGTTGATTAAGATAGACATGCACGCACATCCAACAGACTCAGCTGATCACATACTAAGCCAACATTGATACCTGAAGTGCCCTGATGTATAGACCAGCTTTCTCACAAAGCTGTCCTATAACAGGCCTGTCATAGTGAGTAAACATTCCATTGGCCAAAATCGCATCAGCAACATTTGGAAATGTGACAAGATTTATCTCGAGGACCTGGATAAAAGAAGGAAATGGTGATATTAATCAGACAAATGCACCTCAAGTTGCTTCCCTACAAAAATAGTTAAAGAAAAAAGAACTCAAAAATCAAAAATTGACCTTAGTCTGAAGATATGAATGCTCTGGCAAATTTGGCTTCAGAACATCCAGCAGAAATGCTGTTGCTTCACGAATCATGTTCCGCTGGTGGGAAAAAGTGATTGGAGAAAAATATCATCTAAACTAATAGAACAAAAATTTAGGCATCCATAAACATGCTTTCATAAAAATAAAATAACAAACACAGAATCAGTAAAATTGTTGAAATCGTGCTTTAGTCTGCTGCGTCAACTTTATTTTCTTTATTTTATTTATGTTTCAGTTTTTTTAAATTTGTGGACTATTTCAAATAACTTAGTTAGGGTTGTTCCTAGCTTTTAGGAAGTAGTTGGTGATTCAGTTTTTATTGCTATTTATATAGCCTCTCCTCAAGCGAATAAACAATAAGATCAAGTTTCAGTTTCTCAATTATTTCTCCTTCTAATTCCTAAAATAAACCAACAAAAATACTTAGCATGGCAAATTAGATGGTTTAAATTCATAAGCAAGCTAAAGAACACAGACCTGTAGAAAGAGATCAGTGATAGTATTGTAATCAACTGGACAGCCACCCTCCATTTGAGACATCATCAAAGCAAAATTAACAGCTCCCTACAGAATCAAGTACAGTCATAAGTTACCTCTGACATAATAAAGGAATATTAACCGTCACCTTTATTTTCCAGGTTTAGATACAGAGTTTTGCCTCATTAACTTGAGTGTACCTGAGAATCAGTACGCAATATGGTTTGCAGAAGGAACAAATAGTCTGGTGTGTAGCCAACCTGTTTCAAGATAGTTTTTATTTTTATTGGTAGCCATTACACAATGAAGGAGGGATGTGTATAATGATCCAATAAAAAGCAGTTTTTCCAGCCCTGCCAATATCGTGAACACAAAGAGGAAGAAAGCGAAAAGTTTAACTGCTTTAGAACCTGCTTTGAGTATATCAAAATTTTGTCAAACTCCCGGCGCTCCGCAAAAGCTGCCACAACTTTTGGTGTAGCTCTGGCTTTGATATATATTTTCAGTGCAAGATCATTGTCAACAGTCTACAGAATAGATATGATAAAGTTTATAAAATGCAATCAAAGTTGAAATTTTAACAAGGCAAAAAACAAAATATCTGGGAAGGATCATCCATTCAAACATATATGTAAGTTTATATAACCTTAACAAGGTCTCCAAGATCCTCACTGCATTCGAGTTTATCCTCAGCCAACCAATTCTCCAATAGATTCTTCTTGTTCTGGTTAACAACCAGACGAGATAACTCCAAAGACTCGAATGCATTGAGCTTTCCTTTGGTTAATAAAGTTCCAAAATATTGCAGTAATGGTGGAGTTTGCCCAGCTTGTACAGGAACACTCTGAAAGCTCAATTAATGTCAAACAAACCTTAAAGTAACCTAAGAAAATAGTTGCCATCACATTCCAGCAGCAACTTATCGAATGGAAAAGCTATGTATCTCAATTGCTGGATACTTGACATGGTACCTGAAATTTGGCAACAGTTTCAGGTGTCCGAAGGATGCCTTGCGGAGACTCTGCAGCAAGCTCAGCAGCCTCTTTATACTTTGTCTGAGCAAACAGTTCTTGGAAACGCTGAACAACCTGATAAATTTTAACCACAAGTCTATCAAATAGTAGAAACTAAGGGAATCAGGAACTATTTTAAACTTCCTGAAGTGACACCAAAATTGTATTGGGACACATGCGTTTAACATACATAATTAATCACCCACAAAAGGAAGATATATGAAACCTCAAAGGTCATAAATCAAAGCTAGCACTCAATAAATAAAGGAAGCCTTACTCACCCTGAAAACATTTAGGATCCAAAAACAAAAACAAAAACAAAAAAAGAATGAAAAGAAAACCTTTTACGACACAACATATGATATACAATGACAACTTCTAAAACCCTATCTAGAAAAAATGACAGCAAAAAAATATGACATTAACTTACCAAGTTCTCTGCACCAGGTAGATTCCCTCTTTTGGCAAGATTGACAGCAAGTTCAAGATTATTTAACTATATAGAAACTTCAAGTCACTAGAAATGAATGGATAGTTTGAATACAACATTCTCCTACAAAATAAACTGAAAACATACTTGGCCACTGACAAAAGGGATAATAGTTGCTTCATTCACTGTAGCAAGTAACACCTGGCCTTTTCGATTGATTGCATAGAAACCTCCAACAGATGAAGCTTCTGATGTCAGAAATATCGGATCTGAACTAATTCTATTTCTATATACAGCTGTGGCCGTCTCTAAATCATATACAAACAGGAGGCCAAGCTTTGTTATCACATATATAAGACCATATTTATGTGATATCTGCAACATAAAACGAACACATCAAACAAGAATGTTGGATACATTCACCATCACATATGGAAGTTTATATGCATGGGATACTACAATGATGAAAAGAATCTAATTTCAATAAAGAATAACAAATAGCATAAATTCAAATATATAAACATAATATATGTATATTCTAAGAAGAAATACCTGCATGGCCACAGGAAAGTCATCAGCAAAATCAGGTGGGAAGAACAGATCTGCTTGCTTTTTCGTAAAAGATGGTTTCCCTGAGAAGTTTGACATACTCAAATTTGAGTATAGACAGTACTATTACGTATTAAATTCAGTCGTTTACTAAGACCGAGAATATAATTAGAGTTATATACTTGTCTTCACATTGTAGTTCATTTATAACCAAGTGGATTCTGTTTTCTAAGATTGAGAGAGAATTAAACATCAATTAGCCCTTTTGGCATTCATTACTCCAAATGATCCAATTATATATTATCTTTATTTCTCTATTGAAAATTTACTATTCAAACCATGTTCATACGGCAGATCATATGTTTTTGTCTCTCAAAACCATATAATTAAGTATTTTAACAAAGGATATTTGTCCCTGTTTAAAATTACGGTATGTTTGTCATAGTAGGGCTTATTATGTGTACATAATTCTTGCAAATTAACATGGTCTCAAGATGGTTATTACATGTGATAGTGTTCATCACAGATTAGCCAACCACTGGATTGCAATGGTCTTATTTGTATGTTTTCGACTGTAAAACAGCCAACATATTTGGATAATTTCACGGATGTGTGAAAGAAGTGGTTATGTAATATTGGACACGGTGTGGAAAAATGAAAGTGCATATATTTGTGGTCGTTATAGTCTATTACTGTTATCTACTATATCATACAATAAAATTATATAGCATATTGTATTGAACCGAAACTCAGCGCTTTTAAATTGATTGATTTTTTTATATGTAGTATGAAAAATTGAGTTAAAAGTATAAAATATATTATTTTAAGTTGAATATTTGATTTTTTGTAATGAGTATTTGACTATTTGAAAGTTTTTTTGACTTTTTGACTTTTTTAAAAAATATTTTGTATTGTTTATTATTATTTTTAAGGAATCGTAATTAAGAAATAGTGTTGGAAAAACATAGCGCCAATTGCTCAAATGATTTTTAAATCTTTTTATATACCAAGAAGAGATTTTAGAGTATATAGATCCCAATGAATTTAAATTAGAGGGGATTTTCAACCCCTCAAAAGAGCTACCTAGAAACACAGTAACTGTGATGGGGAGTTATTTTTGAAATGTGACAGCCAAAACAAGAGAAAACAAATTTGAGTAATTTCTTTTACACATTTAATTTATAGTGATTGTTTTAATTCAAAATCAAGAGAAAATAAACTTGTGACAATGTAGTTCAAGTTTTAGGCTATCACAATGCATTGTTAGTCATTATTGTATTCTAGCCTTTATGATCCAACATTAAGCCAACTTATAGTCATAATATGAAAAACATTTAACATGAATACTATCAATAATGTCATGAATAAACCAGGATATCAAAACAAATGGAAGATTATCGACCTGGCTGAGCACCAAGCTCAATGACATGCAATTTGGATGTAATCTGACCGGCATTACAGGTTTTTGAAGCAAAGGAAATAAGAATGGAATCCTTATCATTCCCTGGTACCTGCTCAGATACATGAACAAACAGAAAAAATAAAAAACATAAGATGAATTTGCAGGGAAGAAGCCAAAAAAACAGAAATATATTTTTAGAAAACAACACCTACTCTTAAAGTGGCAAATGATGCAGCATGTGCTTCAAGAGCTTGACTACGCTGTTGGTCAACCGAGAACAACTGCATATTTCCTTTGACCAGTTGTGGACGCTGAGAAAGAAAATCATTTCAGTAACTTCTTGTCAAAGATAGCCAATAATCTAACGCTCATGCTATTTGAAAGACTTTTCAACATGGAGTGGAAACTCCATAACGTGCAAAAAAGAGTAACTGATCTATAATAATAATAATAATAATGATGTTAAGAAGGGGATCCAGGGCCTCCATCCTCTCCAATTCGTATTAAGTGGAGTAATCCGTCACTCTTATATTTAAGAGGGAGTTCCATAATTTTCCAACGTGAGATAACAATATTCAACACTCCCTCCTTCAGATGATATCATCTCGAAATCCTAAATAGGATCAATATACAATATGGGCATCATGGCTCTAAGACCATGTTAAGAAAGATATCCGGGGTCTTCATCTTAAAACAAATTGGAATTAAATGGAGTAGTCCTTCACCCTTATATTAAAGAGGGAGTTCCTACAATTTTCCAATGTGGAATAACAATATTCAACAAATATAATAATAAATATATTATTCACCACTAGATAGAAAACACAAACAGTGCCCACAACAAAAACAAAAACAAAACAATAACAATAATAAATGATGTGTTTGTACTTTCACAACCATTACCATTCTACAATAAATAAAGCTTTTTTTAAAAAACATTACACCAACTCTTTTCATTTAAAACATCATGTTAAGAAACATCAATTTCGGAAACCTATTTTTTATTAAAAAAAATTCAAATCCAAAACACGAATAACAAACCTGATGCGTCACTTTATCAATTTAAATTTTAGGTGAGGTGGTTATTTAGCAGGTTATATTAGTGATTGTTGGAAATATTAATATATATAAAATGATAATATGATACTTTAGGTAAGGATGTGAGGTGGTTATTTAAGATGATATCAGATCGGGGAATCTTGTAGTATTTCTTTATGGCTCGTGAGGGGGCACATAGGAAATATTATTATATAATATGTGATGTATCTACCTATAGGCTTATGCTTTCAAATGAAGTTATTGAATAAGTGATAAAGGTTTTGTTTACTTGTATTTTTTTTTTCAATTTCTTTACTATCAATCCTTAAGATCTCCTGTAAAAGCATATCACATCCAGCACATTTTGTAAGCAAAAGATTCAAAAAAAATAGAAATTTAAAAAATCACAACTAAAAACACACCCAAAATAGTACATATTTAGCTGCTAGGCACAGAGAAGCGCTGAAAATTCATAGTAGATATAAACTTCTAAGTTGATCATATAGAAGGAATCATACGTACAATAAACAAGTAATAAAACTATACACTATTTCACATGCAAAACACGAACCACGGCATGTTAAACAAAAAACCTGATTCAGCAAATCTAATGTTATTCATCCTCAGCAAACATATGCCATCTACAGATATCTGAGCACAAATTTAATACAGACACTTCATAACCGGTATGAACTCTAGTAAACCAGTAACTTCAAATATGTCAAAGAGTATATATGCCCTAATTTATTAGATCCACAAGCATAACCACCAATTGTTCACATACTCATCCTGACCTTGCAAACAATTGATGACGTAGAAAAAAGGAAACACTAATCGTTCAATGCTATTGTTAGAAAATATTAGTAATTAGCAAGATTAATGCCTAGAATAATACTAAATTAATGTGCTAGATTAGTTCTTGGATTAGTGTATTTACATTAATTGGTGTTTTGCGCTTATCTTGTTGTTGGACTCTCGTTTGTAGATACATAAATAAATAATGTATATCCCTAATAGCTTAAACTTAGGTGTGACAATCATTCACATTATTTAACATGGTATCTGAACTTTAGGTCTCGAGTTTGAGTCTCACCATCCTCCATTTGTTGTCGTCACCGTGCAAGTTTCGTTTGGTAACGTTTATCCCCTCTTACATGTAAGGGGCGTGTTGGTGGACTTCTGTTTGTAGATAAATAAATAAATAAATGATGTGCATGCCTAATAGTTTAAGCTTTTAGGTGTAACGGTCATTTACATCATCTAACATAGTACCAGAGCCCTAGGTCTCAAGTTCGAGTTTCACCGTCCTCATCCAGCATATATCCATGTGCAAGTCTCGCATAAACATGATATCAGAGTCTTAGGACTCGATTCGAGTCCCACCGTATCCCATTTTTCATCGTCCATGAAAGTTTCTTTTGGTGGCGTTTATCCCCCTTTCACGTAAGAGGAAATGTTGGTTGACTCATGTTTGTAGATATAATAAATAAATAATGTGTATTCCTAATAACTTAAGCTTTTAGGTAAGACGGTCATTTACATGGTATCAGAGTCTTAGGTCTCGAGTTCGAGTCCCAGCATCCCCCGTTTGTTGTCGTCCACGTGCAAGTTTCGTTGACTCACGTTTGTAGATATAATAAGTAAATGATATGTATCCCTAATAGCTTAAGCTTTTAGGTTGTCTTCTTACACCTGAGAGGGCGTGTTGGGAATTCTCGTATTTTAGAAAAATAATTAATGATGCATATCCCTACAAGAGGGATAATCGCCAACAAATTATCAGCATCGTTGTTTTGCCTTAACTCAATGTTCATGGAATTTTCAATTGACCTGTATGTACCTTAATCTTTATTAACGAAATTCATCTCAATAGACAATCGTATTTCTCTTCCAATGTTTTCAATCTCAACATGATATCATAGCAAAATATCAACGTTCTTGTTTTGCCTCAAGTAACATTCTTTTTTTGCCTGAACCATGTTGCTAAATCTGGCTTTAATTAATCCTTCCCACCATCTCTAACTCGAGGTACACCGGAAACTAGACTGATGTAAGCAGTGTCACCGAATTAATCTCATGCACAATGCGTGAGATACACGTGGGAAGCACCAACCACCAATCTCATTGGAATTTGGTGAGTCATCTCATTTTCTACCTCTGGTTTTACTCCTAGGGTGTTTTATCCTTATCTACTTGGGAATTCTCAATTTTAGTTTCTTGGTTGAAGTTTGTTATGTCTACCACCGTGGCAGCTACTGCCAATACGATAATAAATGTCAATATTAATCTCAAATTAGTAGTCTCGGGATTACTACGCAGAATATTTCTATTAAATATGAGTTATCGATAAGGTATCAAACCTATGAATCTATTTGATTTGTGATTTTGTTTGAATCCAAGAAATGGTGATGAGTTGATATACGAAAACTAGGGGGTCACCCATCCTCAAATTACTTTAGAATGAGGACAGAAGCGCGTTGGAAGGACTCGTGTTGACCTGTGGGGCCAGCCTACGATCCTGACATGCTCGGCTTCGTGTGGCTTGCGGGCCGGGGTGTCACAATAAGCCTGCCCACAAGTCTTTCCATTTCCTTGTCCACGGAAATATTCTCCTCCGCACTTCCCAACTTTATATTTGGGTCAACTGGAGTACTTGTTGGTCTGCATGCTGTTTTACCTATTCCTTTAAGCAAGTCAGTAATATACTTTTGTTGAGATATGAAGATTTCTTTCTTGGAATGAGCCACTTCAATTCCCAAAAAATATTTAAGTCTCCCTAGTGTCTTGATCTTGAATTTTGTTGCAAGGCATTCACTTAACACTTGTTGCTCCTTTTTGTCATCCCCACTTACTATAATATCATCTACATACAATAATAAAATTGTTACTCCCCTGAAATTGAATGTTTGATAAATAATGTGTGATCCCTTTGGCTCTATCTATAACCCAAACCTGTAATAACTTTGGTGAATCTTCGAAACCATGCTCTTGGGGATTGTTTTAGCTTATATAGAGCCTTTCTTAACTTGCAAACAATTCCAGCAGCAACCTGTCCATTGTAACCAAGGGCAACTCCATGTATATTTCTTCTTCTAGGTTTCCATGTAAAAATGCATTATTCACATCGAACTATTGCAGGTCCCAATCATGATTTGTTATTAATGAAAATATTACTCTGACAGTGTTCATCTTAGCAACCAGGGCAAATGTCTCCAAGAAATCAACTCCATAGGTTTGAGTGAAGCCTTTGGCCACTAACCTTGCCTTGTAACGTTCAATGGTTCCATCAGCCATGTACTTTACTGCATATATCCATTTGCATCCTACGGGTTTCTTGTCAAACAATGCTTCAGATTACAGGGGAATTTGTGTGTGGAGTTAAGGTTTGTGAAAAAGGCTTTATGGATAGGTGAGAATTTTTCAAAAGATAAAAAAATTGATAGTGGGTAGAGTGGTTGTTGGGTGCAAGGGAACTAGAGATAATATTCTTTTTTATTTTCATTACGAGGTTACTAGACCTCTATATATATATATATATATATATGAGTCTGCAGCCTAGCTAATTCTAAGGAAAATAAATCTCCGATTATGGGATAGATCCTAAATACATAAACCTAAATAATATTAACGTACAACTGTTATAGAAATACAGCATAGCAAATATAAAATTTCCTAAAATACACAAATACAATCACGGTTTTGACAAGATCGCTGCCACTAGAAACCCTAATATGATGACGCTGCAATTACAGAGGCCACCTCCGCCACGACAGAGGAGTGTAGCCATTAAAAATCCTAATTTGGCTAAAACTTTAATTTATTGGAATTTAGCACCACCGTTGCAACAGAAGATTGTCGGTGCATTTCCACGACAGAGGATTGCCGCCTTTAGAAACCTTATTTTGGCCAAAATCATAATTTTTTAAGGTTTAGTCTCGCCACCACGACAGAGAATCGTTTTGAATGCTCCAAAGATTGATATATTGTTATGAAGTCCGTCCATAGTTAAACTCCACTTTTGGTCTCTTTTGCCAAGCTCGAGTTGATTTCTATGACACCAACTTGAGTTTGGGGAGTGTTAAGATATATTTAATATATTCGATAGGAATTGTAGTTAATATGATTGTTACTAAATTAATTTACTATTTGAATTTATCCATTTTGTATAAGGTTTATAAATAGACACTATTTTTATTGGTAATTAAAAACTTGGAAATTCTCCCAAAATGTAACAAATAGTATAGTAAATAATTAAATATGCTATTTGTTGTGCCTAAATGACTCATAGTTGTCAACACCAAATGGTGCACCGTGGGCATAAACTCCCTAGGGCCACGGCATGCGCCATTTGAGGCATGGTGCAGTATTGACAACTATGAACTGAAATATTCTTAAATGTACTATATAGTAAGGGTCTATTCTTTTGTGATTTCAAATTGAAATCAACACCCGCACCATTTTTAATAAAAATATATTATTTTCCTCACAAAACAGCATCAAAATACTATTTAAACAAAATTCAAATCGACACTCCATTTCAAATCAATTTCAAACCACAACCAAACAAATCCAATAAAGTGACACTATAGTTTTTCGTACGTCTGTGATACCGACGAATCCCGGCAATGTCGGGAGGATCGACTACTAGTAGTTTACTCGCGGTGGGTCCAAAGGAAAGCAACCCACTTTAAGTTGATAGTAGTACTTTGAATTATTTGGTAGCACTTTATTTAGTTGAGTATTTATAATTGATATTTAATTATGTTATTAGATCTAATAATAAGATTATTGGGCCATTAGAGCCCAATTAGAAGTTTTAAATATGATAAGAGTCACAAATCTTAGGGATCATCTAGGGTTTTGAGAATCAACCTTTTGCTTGGGGCGGAAGATATTCCGTTGTTTTGCTATTTTCTCTATTCAATAAAGATTCATATTTTACTACGTATCAATTGGTCCGACCTTCCGGATCTCAAAAGGGAGGATGAACACATGCTCTGGAGATGTGGACAGCCGTCTCAACGCGCTAGAAAATAGCCTAACTGTCTTGGCTGCAGCACATGCAGAGACGCAACAACAAGTGGATATGGTTAAGACGATGCAGAATCAGATGCAAAATCAGATAGGGGATATACAGAACCACATGATTGAACAATTTCATGAGTTGATGGCAGCCTTGTAGGGTAGCACTAGCGGTCCTACGATTATGGGTAATGACCCCACAGGATCCTCGGTTATGATTAATAGGCACAAACATAATGCGCCACCGACAAAAGGCCAACCGCTAGCCATCACAAACCCGATAGCAATTTCAAATATAACGAAACCGATATTTAATGGTACTAATACAATCGGTTAGATCGGAAAGGTAGAGCATCAGGATGTCATAGGGAATCGTCAAGTACTATTAGTAAGGGTTGCTATGGAATGAAGGACGTTGAATTGGTTATGCAACTTTCGAACCATGCACGAGGATTTATCATGGTGTGATCGATGCAAACATCCCTACAGCCCGACTTATGTGTGCCCATTGAAACAGATACATACGCTAATCATGGACAGAGGAAAGTCATGGGACCCGGGGTAGAACAAGTGGATGATGGAGATAGTAAGTTGTCAGGAATAGAGATAGCGGGACAAGGGGGACAGAAGAGGAACACAGTGGATATGTCCCTATCCTTGTATTCACTAGCGCCCTACACGGATACACAAACTATTAGGGTTTATGAAATGCTCAATAGAATACAAGTGGCGATGCTTTTAGATGGTTGTGCGAGTCATAATTTTGTGTCGCAAGAATTGGTGGGGAGATTATCATTGCCAATACAACATGTTGGTTTGTTTACAATGATGCTCGGGAACGGGAGAAAATTGTGGTCTATAGAAGTCTGTAGGGCCGTATAGTTGGGGGTTGGCAAGGCAAGTATTGTGACCGATCGTTATATATTTTTGCTTGGTAGTGTGGATGTCATATTAGGAGTTGTGTGGCTGCAAACTTTGGGTGACGTATGAGTCAATTGGGAAACTATGACAGTGACATATAACCAAGGAAAGGAGCTTATGATTCTTCAAGGAGAGCTGACCCTATCGCGCTCACAGGTGGCACGCCAAACCTCGTTGAAAACAGCAAATGCAGACTTTTGGGCTTTAGTGGGGGAACCGGCGAGTTGCGTAGAGACCAGAGGAGCCATATCAACAATTTTAGCCAACAGTGCAGGCCAGGTGGATCGCGAAAAAGTACATGAATAGTATCTAGACGGGTTTGAGGAGTCAGCAAGATCACCACCAAGATGCGATAATGATCATCGTAGAAAACTCCAATCAGGTTCTGATCCGATGTCCGTATGGCCTTATCGTTATGGTCACTTGCAAAAAGATAAGATCGGACGCATGGTGAAAGAGATGTTGACAATAGGGATCATTCACCCAAGTTCAAACCAATTCTCGAGTCCAGTACTATAGGTAAAGAAGAAAGATGGGAGGAGATTTCGTATTGATTTTCACCTACATTCTAGGTACCACCAAATTCGAGTTCAAGAGGAAGATGTGCCAAGACGGCATTTTGCACGCACAATGGACAATATATGTTTCTAGTAATGCCTTTCAGGGTCACTAATACACAAGAGACATTCCATTTTGCAATGAATGATCTATTCCGACTGTATCTGCAGGTTGTTATGGATCCAGGAAAGGTGTATGCAATTCAGACATGGCCTATTCTAACTTCGGCTTGGGGAATTCATGGTCTCCTATGTTTGATAGAATATTATAAAAGGTTTATACGTCGATATAGGGCTCCCTCCAGGCTGTTCACCAAATGAGATTTTAGCGGAGCGGCTGGGTTTAATGGGGAGCCAGGAGTTCTTGTTCGGCGGCCTGGTTTGGAAGAACAAGGCACAACATGATTCACTTAGGAGGAGCTCCAACAACAATTTTTAACTTTCCGCCTTGGGAACAAAGCGTCTTTCACGGGAGAGGCAATTGATACCGACGAATCCCGACAATGTCGGGAGGATCGACTGCTAGTAGTTTACTCGCGGTCGGTCCAAAGGGAAGCAACACACTTTAGGTTTATAGTAGCACTTTTAATTATTTGTTAGCACCTTATTTAATTTACTATTTTATAATTTATATTTAATTATTTTATTAGGTCTAATAATAAGATTATTGGGCCATTATGGCCCAATAAGAAGTCTTTAAATACATCGGAGTCACGGATCTTAGGGATCATCTAGGGTTTTGAGAATCAAGCTTTTGGTTGGAATGGAAGATATTCCGTTTTTTTGCTATTTTTTTTATTCAATAAAGATTCATATCTTCCTACGTATCAATTATATTCCATTGTTTTGCTCAATAAAGATTCATATTTTACTACGTATCAGTCAATATGCATGACAAACTCGCATATATAATTACAACAAAAGAAAATGACAATCACACACCTCAGGGGAACCAGGAGCAATCCCAATCAAAACCAACCACTTTTCTGAAGGATCACATTTATAATTGATTATTTGGTTGTTGGCGAGATTGGCAGTTCTATTAAACATCTTAACAGGTTCAGAATCACCTACATAAGAATACCACATGTAACAAGATCACAGCAGTCTGGAGAAAAACCAAAACCAAAAAAAAGATTGTAAAATGATAAGGCAGGAAGCATAATCTTACCTTCTATCGACCAATGATATACTGAGGATTGTGTAACTAAACCCATCATCTTAGGAGTGATCCACTTCCAAAATACAACCTGTCAAAAGGGCATATTATTCAAAGACAATAATCCAGCTCAACACACCCCTCACCCCACCCAAAAAAATAATAAATAATAAAAGAGAGAGAGAGAGAGAGAGAGAGAGAGAGAGAGAAAGGGAGGGAGAGGAGCTGGGTGGGAGAGAGATTTTGCACACTAGTGAATAGAGCATCAAATTATACAAGCAGGAGATCTTGCCTGCTCAGGCATCTGATGAGACTTCAGTTTTGCTTTTGCCTCAATGTTAAATATTTGCAAGTGATCTTGTGTAGTCCCAGGAAGGTGAGCTTCATTAAAAGAAAATTATACATTTAAATATTCACCCCATGGAAACAACACCTTTCATTATAATTTGATATAATTTTACATACTGATCAAAATTATACACAAATGTCTATGCATTTTGTGCATATTCTGAAACATACCCATAGTTTTAGTAACAGCCAAGAGTGTAAACTAAATCACTCCAATATATTGGAAAATTAAACATAAAGAAAAAAATTTCCATTTTCAACAAAAGAGTTTCCTCAAAATAATATTGCATGGAAGCCACAATTAGAAAAGAAATCATCATCATCTTTAGGTGTGTACCAATTCAATTATATTTTCCTATTTACCAACTGATTTAGAAATTTGAAAGATTTTTAGAATTTCTAAACTTTCTGTTTTGAATTTATATAAATTTAGCCCAAATAAGTTTTGAATTGAAATTGGAAGTTCAAATTTGAATTTAAAAGTATTCATTCATAAATAATATAGTATATGCATAGAAATATTAATATAAATTCAATTAAAAGATATTGAAGGGCCTTTTGGAATTATAAAATCAAAGCCAAAACTTAGAAGTAAAAACTGATCAAATGATTAAAATGAAAATTAAGCTTGAGATTCAACTTTGGTTGAAGAATGACAAAATCTGTTCCTTCTGAGCTGGAGATTTTCCCAAATTCTAAATTTAATGAGAATCGAAACTCAATCGGTAGCAAAGAAATTAGAATCAAATTTGATTGGAATACTCCTATCCAAAATTATGAAAAAAGAAAAAATTAATTCAAAATTCCAACTCGGATTTGATTCCAACTAACATCCTAATCATCTCCATACCCCTGATTTAAGAATTTCTCCTACTCTTTCGAATAGCAAACAATCTTTATCCTTAAAAGCGTCTTGGCAATTTCATCGTAATAGATACTGAGAGAAGAATATTTTTAGTATACTAATGCAGCAAGGTTAGCCATTGTTGTATAATATCAAAGTAGGAAAGTGCCAACATCCTACGATTCCAATCCGAGATCTTCCCAATACACATTCTTATCCTCTATATAGTGGATGAGGCCCATGGCTCACTTCAATATCAGTACCTCAACCTCAACAGACATTTTTGTACAATTCTTACATACACTTTATCGGACAGATATCAAATCACTTGCATGAAGTAATTTCTGTATGGTGAGTGGCGGAATCTTAAACACCAGGATAGGAACCTTTTTCTGCTAATCTTCCATTTTCATAAAAAAAAAAAAAAAAAAAAAAAAAAAAAAAAAAAAGGTTCCATGGTGCAAGGCAACAAGAGTAATAGTCTGCCTATAAATAGGAATGTAAATGGGTTCATGCAACGCACACTCACACAATAAGAGTCTGTCTGCCTAGAGTCAGGAGGTGTCTATCCTGCTATTCCTGGTGTGTGTTGCTGAAAGATGAGATATCATTATCAATTACTTAGGATGAAAGATGAGATCAAATCCCTAGAATAAAGATAAGACAATGCACGATAATTTGTCTTTTTTTCTCATCTTCCAAAATCATATTAGCTTACCTGGCTTCCTTTTTCCCCAATCCCATGTCAGTCTTCTTTTATTTCTTCTACTTGGTAATGGGCAATCTAAAATATTTTTTTTTCTTTCTTTCATTTTGAATCAGGTATTGGACTGATGAAAATGTTGAAGTTTCTTCTTTCTTTATCTTCATTTATGTAATTTTGTATTGGCATATCACTGAAAATACACTACTTGAGACAACCCAAATCACGTTCTCCAATGTGGGATGTGGACTCAAACTGCTGCTTATATGCATTTGCCTTCTAGTTATGCACAAGCCTTTAACAATCCATATATACATTCCATCCTTAGAATATTTAAAGCAGTTATTTAAATCAGTGTAATCATCTTTTCAAAATCAAAGCTAATATGTGACTCCCAAATACGTAAAGAGAGGTATACATCGGAAGAATCTAAACATTATTCCAGAATAAAATTCATGCATCTGATAAACATTGAAATATTAATATATTTTTTATGTTTGTTTTTAAACCATATATATACATGTGTATGTATGTATGATGGTCCACAGTCATTTGATAATATAATAGGATGCAAAAACTATGACTATGTTCTAGGTGTACGCACTTTTAATGTATATGCGGCATGACCTGTACATACAATAATTAGTTTGAATAAATTACTGAAGGGTAATATGCATGGTGCGGAGGTATTTTGGAGGAGTACAAAATGTTGAAGAACGTTTTACTACTTGAATAAACATATACAAGAAGACCTAACATATACTAACCAAGATTTATATAAACGTGCAACCGCAGACAACCATTAAATACCCCCAAAGTCTAAGGCAACAAAAGCTCATTGTTGAAATGCACTTATGTTGACTTTCAGTAATAAATGTTCAAATGCCTAATTGGAAATTCCATAAAATGCAAAAGCCATAGGCAAACAGGAAAATTATTTCACAAAACAGAAACAGATTAGAAGAAAGGTCACTCACCTTTTAGGGCTAAAATTCTGGAATTCGGATTCATCAATGCAGAGTCAGCAGTAATTGGCCGCCTCAGTGGCTGCGTTGGCATGTTCATATCTATAATTACCACACTGTTCTGAGGTGCAGTCTCCCGAACGCATATATAATTTTCAGATTCCATAGTCACATTTGTGAAAGTAATAAACTGCTGATTGATCCCTATGCTTGTCAGCTGCAATCGCCACATATTACACACACAAGCAACAAATCACTTCCATTTATACAAACTCATGTAACAAAAAGAAACAAATACAAAATAAAACAATGTCACACCCAACATCCACAACCAAACAGACAATACCAACAAGAAACATCAGTTACACAAAATCATATTAACCAATACCACCCTCACATCCAAACATGCACAAAAAAAGTGCCAACGCGAATCGCTTACATTACCTATCGTCGCAATTGGAAATAAAACGAATGTCATAAATTCAGCTAACTCATATCAAACCATACCGTGAGGGCTTCCTTCATTGTGATCGGAGCGCTGGTGGCCGCCATAACTGGCGAAGATCAAAGCCAGGAGATGGAAACTCCGGATCTGGAAATAATGAACGGCTGAATCAACCGCCAAAAACGATCAAACGCCCCCCAAGATCTGCAGAGAACCTCGAATTTTTCCCTTGCACCGAATGAGAAAGATCTTTAGACAGAGGGGTTTCCTCCAGAAAGAACGTCCAAACAAGCCTCACTTAACTGTAAACTTTCTTTTGAAAAAAACAAAAATAGAACTAAAGAAAAATACTGCAGCATATAAATATTACATTTATATTTTTATTTTATTTTTTAAATTTTGTCCATATTCATGTAAAAGTATGATTTAGGGTATATTATATAAAAGTCTCTTATATTATATTTTAGTAAAAATGCACAAAATTATTGTATTTCGCTTATTGTATAAAATCCTTTTATAGTATTAATTTAAAGTTTTGTATACAAGGGAGTCAAAAGTTATGTTCGGCCCTAGATAAAGACAAATTTTATACAAATAAATAATAGATTTAAAATATATTAAATAATTTAGTTTAAAAAATAAGGGTAAAATTAATTTTTTTTTTTAGTATAAGATAGAAATGAAAAATAGGTATTTTCTTTTATATTTGTTGGGAAAAAATTTTGAATGAATAGTTGATTTTTGGCAAAACTCCACACTAAATAAATAAATAATCGATCAATTATTTATTTTTTTTAATTTTTCTAAAATTCATATACCAAGTTGTCTCAAAAAATTATAAAATAGAAGATTAATCAATTATTTACTTATTTAATTATTTTATTAAAAAGTATATTTAAGATATTTTATCTTTTTATTTGTATAAAATTTGCATTGTTAGATTCATATTTACAGTTTTGGTTCAAATTCCAAAACTAATCAATATAATAAAATATATATTTAATATAGTTTCGAAAATTTAAAACTATTTTAAATAATCTTAGAGTTTCCCGAAACAAAAAAAAATTCATTCATTCAATATTTATCAATAAAAAAGTAGGTTATCAATTTTCATAAAAAGATAGTCACAACTTATCTTATATGTACACTTCGATAACTTGCATACAATTTAAATCAATTCATGTCTTCACAACGTTTGATCCTCTTATAATCAGCCAACGTATAACCTTTAAATACCACACACTTTCACTCTCTAGAAACATATTAAAAACGATCGACACAAAATTTCCAGGCAACAATTTGAGCCATGCATGAAAAATAATCTATCTTTACAGGCCATGGAATATATCGGATGCAGAATGACCGTCTCACCTAAAAATTCGAACTGTCAGGGAAACACAACTATCAACTTATATATCCGCAAACGGAAGTCCCCAACAGAATAATTTCTTGTCAGAGGCGCGACATTATTCGGGCGTAGAGGAACTCGTTCCACGTGTCGGGCAAGCCGGGGAGGCACCAATGAATGCAGTCGGCAAACTTGGCCGGGTCGGATTTCTGCTCCGGCGTCAACAGCTTTCCCTGCCGGATGGTGTGGACCGAAGTGTGCGCATCCTTCCGGTACTCAGACAGCGCCGTTATATCGAGAAAATGGACCGGAACCTTCATTGACTTAGTGATGTTGGCCGCCACGGCAAAGAGCCGCCGGTCTGTGCCGACGTTTAGCGGCGCTGATGAGTTCAGTACCGGCATTGTTTCTTTGGCACACTTGATCCCGTCGGGGTTGCCCCAGTCTGAGCTCCTATTGAGTTTCGTGATAAACCCTAATCAGCACACAATAATATTATACGCAAATATGACTATAATAAAAATAACATGTGTTGTGTAGATTATAACTTTGTGTTGGTTACTTGTGAGGTTTTGATTTTGGGTTTTAATTTTGAATAGTAAAATTTTGAATTGAAATAATTATTTGATGTGATATAAATATGTATTGATGTGATGTTTCGAATGTAAAATTAGATTTTAATGTAAAAAAGCTAAAGAAAAATTTGGTGTTTGATTTTATATTTTTTTAGGAAAAAAAAAATCGAAATAGTAAAATTATGAGTAAAATCTCATAAGTAAACAGAGTCAATATGTCTTATGTATTGCTTAAATCCTACTTTAAACTATCGTCATACCGTCGAAATTGACATATTAGTTTGTGATGAAATCATATATAAAGTGTGTTGTATGTACTATCACAAAAAGGATTAGCTTACCAAAATATATATATAAATTTTCTACATTAATTTTGTCGATGATCATTTTGTTCTAGAATTTGAAATTTAGTTTGGATTTCATAAAAAATGTAATTACAGAAATTTGGCATATTGCATATTATTACGATAGTTTTCAAATATGATTGAAAGTATGTATTTATTTATTTCAAAATTTGGTAATTGTATAAGAAATCAACGTTATTTGAAACTTAAGCTATGTTTGATCAAAATTCTTAAGCTAAGTTTGATCAAAATTCTTCGAAAAATAAATAATAAATGCGTAGTAGTCTATGACCTTACTCTTGAGGAGGATGATTCTAAGGATACCTGTAGGCATAGATTTTATAGTAAATTGATTAAAAAATATTTCATAAAGCTAAATATGACCTATATATATAGCAAGAAAAATTATATATATTTATTTATTTCTTATGTGATGAAAATTATTACTTGATGTGAAGAGGTGACATGCTCATGAAGAAAATGGTGGTGCGATTTGGATCCACATTTTCGTCGATCCATTTGGCCCAAGTTGTCAATACTCTCTTATAAGCGACGGGTCTCTCTATTTCATCGTATTCGGTCGAGCCTTCCTTAAATGATCCTTTCCTATTCCATGCACAAAAAATTAAGTCGAATTAAGGTTTATAGAATTCTTGAAAAGTTATCTTCATTCTAGCAATAATATATCAGTAGTACTCCATCGGTCCCACGTAATTTGTCCATATTTTCTATTTTTATCCGTCTCACATAATTTATTTTTTTCTTTTTTTGGAAAAATGGTTATATACTTTAATCATATTTTAAATATCATAATTTATAATTTTTTTTAATGTTATCTTAATGTTAATTTATAATTATTTTTATCAAACAATAATTATTTTTACTAATACATTTCTCAAGTACTTACTAATTATACTTTACCTAAATTCTCGTATCTACGGTAATGTGCCCAAAATATACGAAAAGGGGGGAGTATAAGAGAAGTAATGGAATACTAATATAATTAAAGCTTCGAAAACTACAATTTTTCTCTTATATCTATAGTCAACTCTATATTATTTTTATCATACTCCCTCCGTCTACCATAATCCGTCTCACATAATTACGGTGGACAGAGGAAGTATAATTTTAAGTTGTCGCTCAACTATTTACTTTCTCCCTCCAAAATATTTATAGTTATTTTTCATATAACTATGCAACTGAATTTACCTGTATACCATAAATATATAACAAAAACTTTTGTTTATATATTTCAGTATTACTCATATTTTGACATATACTAACAATCATCATTGTCATTTAATCAAGTGTACACTATTAATTGAACAAAATCTTTAGTTCATTTTTCAAAATACCTTATATAATTTTTTTATTTTACATTAAAATACAAAAAATTCTATGTAGTGTTATCGACATAATTTTACCTAAAGAGGAGTATTATATTTTACTCTCCCTCCTTTCATCAACTTTAAATGATAATCATATATGTAATATTTAAGATATGACAACGGTTTCGGCGCTGGTCAAATTAGCATCAAAATTTGACTCAATTATCACAACATAATGTAATAGAAGCATGTACCGTGAATTTTTATATTTGTGTTATGGGTTATGAATATATTTATTATACTAAAAAATCAATATATTGTACTATATATTATGTCCTGTCAGAAAATGTGTTTTATAAAATTATATCATATCATATAAAGTATGTGTTTGTGTGTTTTTATTTGACTCAATTAGCACTCAAACTGAAACGATATATATTATCTTTTAAGTAATCCGTCTATTATCCAATTTTATTTTTTTTTATTATCATCAAAACTTATTCACATTTTTTATTTTTAGTAGACAGGAGAATTTAGATAAAGTATAATTAGTAAGTAATTAAAAAGTATATTAGTATAATTATTGTATATTAAAAATAATTATAGATTAAGAATAAGATAATTAAATAGTTTAATTAAGATTAAAAAAATTATAAAATTTAAAGTGTGATTGAAGTGTATAATTATATTTCCAAAAAAGATACGTGAGACGGACGAAAATAAAAAATAGAGACAAATCATGTGGAACTAATGGAGTATATTCTTACCCACTTTTTTAAAATCCATGCTTATATTTTACATAACTGAGTAAATGCTATTTAAGCGTGCATGCAACTATATATCTATGGCATGCATGCAAAGTAGAGATATATAATTAATGAATAAATTTGAGGATTAAAATGTACTCCCTTTATCCCATATAATTTGTTTTTATTTTTTATTTTCGTCCATCCCACATAATTTGTCATTTTCGTTTTCGAAAATATAATTATACACTTTAACCTCATTTTTAAATTTTAAATTTTATAATTTCTTTAATTTTAATTAATCTATTTAATTATTTTAAACTTAATTTATAATTATTTCTACTACGATAATTATTTAGCTTCTTAATTACTTACTAATTACACTTTACCTAAATTTTTGTATATACAGTAACACAAAGCATATTATATGAGAAGGAGGGAGTAATTAGAAATAAATAATGGATCAATTAATTAATTAATTAATTAATATTCTTACAGAAGTTTGATGGCGGCGGTGTTCATCCACCAGATGTAGGTGTTGAAGACCAGATAGTCGGCGTTTTTCCAATTGGCGGCGTCGGCGTGGCCGTCGATGGATTCCGCCATAATTATGCGATTCTGAATGCTGTGCAAGTCCGGGTCGTCCGAGTTCGACTCCACCAGGAACGGCGCCCAGTAGAACTCCACTGTCGCGTTATAATCCTGCACCATTATATTCATTTTTATTTATTTATTTATTTTATTTATATTATTTAAAAATATAAATAAAAATAAATATATATTTAAAAAAAAATAAAAAATAAAAATTCATCATATATCGTTTTCGGACGTTTATAATTTTTTTATTTTTTTATTTTTCGGTTTAATTTGGATACGTGAAAAATAAGGCACAGTGAAATCAAACCAACCTGAAGACTTGACTGGGCGGGTGGGTTTTTTATTCTTATTTTGTGCACTTTACCTAACTAACGTGGAGTAAACTTGTGGTGAACTCCAACTTGTGTAAGCGTGTGTCTCATCATCAATATTATAAATATTGCATGTTATTATTATTACTACCTCGCCATTTCAAATTTATGCTCACTTTCTTTTTTGAATTGTCATCGAAAAATATTTTATTTTTTTTTTAAGTAAAAAACCATTCTATTTTTGTACTTTTTTTACTATAAAAGAAAAAATTAACAATTATTACTCATTTTTATTAAAACTTATGTCCGATCAAATGAGCACACATTTGCATAACGGAGGAAGTATTACTTTTATTATTATTATATCAGTAGCCAGCAGAAATTGGCAATTTTGGTAATATTTCAAAATCAAAATAGCAAATAAATTATTTTGCCTTTACTTTTAATATACAAATATAGTAAAATAGAAGTATTTTAAGAAAAAATGTGAGGTCCATAATTACTATATATATATATATATATATACACATTAATGCACTAAAATGAAAATATGTATACATTAAAGGCATCTCCAAGGTGGATTTGGCGTCGGTTCCATCGTGCATTAAAAAATAGCGTTGTTTTCTATTTTTTTTTAATTTATTTTTTATTTCTCTAAATTTTAAAAAAATTATTTTAAATTATAAAAATAAAAAATTATTTAAAATAATAGAAAATTTGAATTTTTTAAGAACAATAATAAAAAATAGAATTATGATTGAAATAAAACTAATGTAACAGCTGTATATTTAGAGTTAAAACTAGAGAAATTGAGTTGATGAATTAAAAATGGCCTAACGTGTCATCGGAGAGATAATTATATAAATATCTGTATAATGAAGCAGCAACTCCAGACAAATCCACACCATTCATCTAAAGGGTTAAAAGAATGAACGGTGTGGATTGATCCCGGTGTTGGCATCCCAGAAAGAATGTCCACCGCAAGAAAATATTATTTTTATAATGAGGTTTTTTCGTACCTAAATCTACTTTTTTTCGTTAGTAACGACACTATAGACGAAATTAGGGATGAAATTACGTTAATTAGGTAAATTTTAAGGGCGAAATCCCTTTATAAATATATATAGCGGAAGAAGGCACCCGAAAAGCATAAGGTTGTAATGATCCCAAAAACAATTAGAAAGAATTGAATTGGACAAGCTAATTAAAGTATGTCATAATAACGAATAGACATGAAAGATAATTAACCTGAATTCTGAAAACAGACAAGGAGCCATTCTTGGTGAGGGTTTTGGCCGCCGGATTACTATAATTATTAGGCACTGCTGAATGAAGCAAACAAATCATGGATTCCCACTGGTTCCGATTCAGGGAATCTCCCACAAACATCAGCCTCTTGTTCCTCAGCTTCTCCAACAACAATTTCGCTTTAAACCTGCAACTCAATTAATTAATTAATTAATTAATTAATTAATTAATAAATACAAGGAAACTATTAGGGTACGGAATTGAAAAAATTAGCACCGTACTGTGGTGTATAATAATGACAAGTGATGTTACTTTATAATTATAGCGTGCTGTATAACAGTATGTGGTGTGCTGAAATCAATAAGTATTTGTATTGTATAAGACGATAGCATATATTGTTCGTTCATAAGTTATATTTGTGTTCTTAGTTCATTATTACAAGTGCGTTGTATAACAGTATGTGGTGTGCTATGCTGAAATCAAGATTGTGTTGTACAAGAGCATCTCTAATCTAGCGTCATTGGTTTATTTGCGTCGGTTGTAGCAACTCCAAAAAATGACGTTGCTTTATATTTTTTTTTAAAAAAAATTTGAATTTTTAATTTTAACTTTTAAATTTATTTTTTATTTTTCTAAATTTAAAAAAAAAAATTATTTTAAATTATAAAAATAAAAAGTTTTTAAAAATAATAGAAAAAAAATTGAATATTTGAAGAATAATAGTGAAAAATAGAGTTATGGTTCGAGTAAAATTACTGTAGCAACTGCATGAGTTAAAACTGGATAAATAGAGTTGATGGGTTGGAAATGGCCTAAGACTATAATATGTATTGTTAGTTCATGCATTGTATTTGTATTATATGAATGGAGACCATAGTAACATCGTGTGCTATGGTGTTTTATTAGCACAGCGCTAAATTTTAAAATTCAGCGCTGTAGCCGTCGCCTAAATACAATATGGGTGTGTTTGTTTGAGGATTTGGAGTTTAGATTGAGATTTGAATAGTAAAAAAATTGAATTTGAATAGTTGTATGATGTGATATAAATATGTATTGATGTGATATTTTAAATATAAAATTGATTTTTAGTATAATATAAAAAATAAAAAATAAATGTTTGATTTGATGTTTTAAGAGAAAAAATTTGTGTAAATAATAAAAATCCATACAAATCCTTGAAACAAACACACCTAGTATATATATATATATATATATATTAATTAATTAATGAATTAATTAATTGATTGATTACTTGGGCAAAGAACAGTTGGTGGGCTGCCAGCGCCAATTCTGGTACGAGGAATCTTTCCTGCCGTTGGTGATGCACGTGACCTGAGCAGTGAGGAAGGGACAGTCTTCCTCCTTGTATAACGGCCGGCTGACGTTATCGAATACCCATCTCCCGCTAAACAGGTCGCACTCTTCAGGAGGAGGAATTATATTATTTTTATTATTATTTATATCTGTATCTATATCTGTATCTATTTCCTCCTCCTTCTCCGGTATCATTCCGGCGACCTTCTCCGGTACAATTCCGGCGACATTTTCTAATTTTACAGCAGGTTCGACTTCTGTCTCCACTACGGTTCTTGAATTCCCCACCACGACTTCTTCTTCTTCATCGCCTCCTCCTAAATTAGGGTTTCTGGAGAACGCCATGGATTTGACGTCCTCACTGTAATACACGAAGCACCCAAACACGAACGCCATTATGACCACCGCCACTATTGGCTGGCTCCCGGCCTTCCGCGAGGACCAGCTGGCGGGCTTCATCTCAAAACGACGACGTTTTTAAGGGGGAGAGAGAATGAATACAACAAATTAATTAAAAGATGTGGTGATATATCAGAATGGAAGACTATATCTATATATATGGGCACTGCTAGCCAGAGAGAAGCCATGCCCGCTCCTCCGGAGCTCCCGGGACCGCAGGTCCAAGAGTAATCACTCAACTCAAACAAATTAAAGAATGTCATGACTCATGATCAACAAGTATGTATTCATTTTGTTGGGTGATTAGTTAATTCTCAGATTAGGTGGGATCGATGGTGTGGTTTTCCTGAAAGAAACAGATGAAAGAAATGTAGTTAATGGTAGGTGGGCTGGGAGTTGGACGATCATACAAGCAAGTAAGCACCAACAATATATATAATTCGGCGGCGTCTACAGTGCTGAATTTTCCGCAGCACAACGTTTATATTCATATTATACAAATACAGCACATGCTATAGTCTTATACATCACAATCAATACTTAATTTCAGCACACCATATATTATTATACAACGCAGTTAGCTTATAATTATGAACCAACAACACAAATACAACACATGAACTAACAACACATGCTATAGTCTTATACAGTATGCTGCAATTATGAAGTAACATCACTTGTCATTATTATACACAACATATGCCGTGTATAATAAGACAGTGTAATATTTATATATATTACGGGTGTTGATTTTTTTAATTCAGCACCCTAACTGTTCCCGTATAATTCAATGCAATTCTAACCACTAGAGATCCTTAAAGTAGTAAGTTTTGAGAATGGGGTAAGGGCAGTAACAAACATTAAATGGGGAAATTGAGTTAGTTCTAAGATTTGTTGAGCTCAATTCGTCTGGTCCAGATTTCATTTTCCTGTGGCCTTTCTGTGGGTAGTTAATTGATACTGCTTGCCTTAACATTTTAGGGTGGATGGCTTTCTGGTTTTTAGGGCTTTTTTGGGGTAAGCAGATCCCTTAACCTCAACATCTGTCTACGGTTCAGATGCATGCCACCTCATACCTAGTACATAAATGCCCACTTTTTATTTTTTGTTTTTCATTATTATTATTATTATTATTAATTATTACTTTCTCCTTTCACTCTCTATCTATCCGTTTACTTTTTGTAAGTAGATTTTAGTATATTAGTATTATATTGATATACATGAAGACTATTATACCCCTTAATATTTATGATATTAAGTGGTTTTATTTGATAACATTTGGGTAATATTATATAAAGGGTGGGGTAATTTTATATTTTAGTGGAAGGTACATTTATTAAAAAATAAAATGGATACATTTGCGATGGACAAACTAAAATGACAAAATGAATAGATTGGCGGTGGACGGCGGAAGTATTATTTTGGACTTTTGCTTGACTTTTTCTTTTGGATACTTTTCTAACTAAATTTATATATATATATATATATATAGATATATGTATATAAAGTAATTCAAGTACCTCCCCATAGCAATGTACATTGTTGGTTCATATTTACCTCCATCGTATATACTTGTTCACCAAGGAAACTACATAAATTTTTATCAAAGCACAAGACATAAAAGAAAGAGATCTTAGTAGAAAATATAAATTTGTAAAATATAAATTTGTAACTAGTTTGGGCTGGTTTGGTTTACTGTGCAAGCAGTGCTGTCCAGTTTGGGGCAGCGCTGACATATGATTTGTTTGTTTGTTTTCTTTTATATATATATATATATAATTTAAATTATAAATACAAATTAAAATTGGTATAATATGTACTATTTTCGACCGGCTCTAGGATTATATTTATTTTTTGCGTGTTGATCTTTGAATATTAATTATTATATCAAAACGTTGTACAAATTATGAAAAAATTAAAAACATATTTGCATTAGTGTCTTATATTACTAATAGAAGAACATTTGTACAAAAATTTATACAAATATAAAGATATTTTTAATGTTAAGTACAATGACGCAAAAGGTAAATATGACCTTAGAGGATGACGGAGGGAGTATAATTTAATCAAATATATAAATATATATGTCACTGTAATAAAATTTTTTATAATACAAATAATAAAAATTTATAAGTATATATGTCGATATAATATAAATTTATAATTAAATTATACAATTTAATGCACATTTATATTATTATATTCATTACCATCAAATCAAAACTTTTCAAACTCAACCCAAACCTAAATACAAAAGAAATATATAAATTCAAAATTACCTCAAAATTCAAATAAAAACCAAATTCAAATCCAAATTTCCCCAAACCCCCCTAAAAAAAATTTAGTCTATAATTATCATTAAATATATATGTAATGTTTAACTTACATTTTAAATTTTACTCTATTAAGTTTTCTTCTCCATGATTATTTTATTTTATTTCTAAACTTAAAAGTTTAAGCCATTACTAGGTACTTTTCTCTTACCGTATCTCTTCTTCCTAACCTATACGCGCCACGCATCTTCCCAATCCTCTCCTTCACGCCGCTTTATGCATATGATCGTTTATTGGATTTATAATTAAAATAATAGTTGTGGACCGGATCAGCACATATTATACACATAATTAATATATATTTACACATCACGCAACATATGTTGAATTATAATATAACATATATTGTATTATAAATATGATGAGATATATATATATATATAAATATATGTGAATTACTTGTATAGTATATGATGATTCGGTCAAATCAGCATATCTTGACCGAATCAGCAGTTGATCCATACCCTAAAATAATTTTTACTTTTGTAAAGTTAATTACTCCCTCCGTCCCAATACAATAGTCTTGTTTACCATTTCTTACCGTCCCAAAACAATAGTCTCGGTTCTATAAATAATCATATCACTATAAAATTACCCTTATTTTTTCATTATTATTACACAATTGCCACTACTTTTTACACTAATACACTCACAATGACAGAAAAGTCTTTTAACATAAATATTCATGAAGCATAATGAAGCTCAATAATAATGCATTCTCATCCCAAGACACTAAGTGCAACATCAATGATCAATCTTTGGATCAATAACATTTATTGCTAGCAGTCATCTTGTTGCAATAATCATATACGGATAATAAGGTAATGTCAAACAGCAACCAATCTTTGGACTTATTTACTATTCACATAAGTTAAATCCATATAATCATCTCATACATATTATCGCAGATGTATATTTCATTCTGTCAATTATCAACTGCCTTTGGGCCAAAAATAATCACATGAATTAAAATATACATAAACACTTACGTTATCAAGAAAAAATCTTATATGAGATATTACTTTGACAACGTCAAATACTTGATCTTCACCATCAAAACACAGCATGCATTATTAATGAATTTATAATTTTCTTAAACTAAATTATAATCAGAATCATGTTCAATATATATGGGTCTGATTCCATAGAAAATAAAGAATGCTTATTAACAACTAAATGCACATGTCTATAAGTTACTGAATGTTTCGTATGTGAATTTATGAAAGAAATTAGCAATCTTATCACAAGTTATCGAGCAACATCAGCAAATGTCGTTAGACAAATTACTGACTCACTAATGATAAACTTGTTTTGACAATCGAATGTTGACAATACAGTAGTGTGTAACACTCCGGTCGGCTCAAACCGGAGCGTCACCGCCACGCCACACCGTAAGGCTCGTTCATCAACCAACTAGCCCTACGTTGCGGCGTTAAGGCTAAAATAACCATTACAAAATAACTATTTAGATATTTAGAATTAAAGCGCACCGGTTTATCATTTAAATAAATAATGTTCGAGTCAAAAACATAAGTTGGAAATAATTCAAAAGGCATTAGTTATTAAACATTAATAATGGATTTCAAAAATATTTTAGAAGATAAAGTAGTTATAGTTCCCCCGATGGATCATATGACGTGGATGCATCATTTAGGTATAATAGAAACATGATCACCTACAAAAAGGTTGTAAGAAGAGGGTTAACACAATGGTTGAGTAAACGCAATTAATCGAAGATAAATTAATACGATATAATGCCACAAAATCATTTGAAGAAGATAATTTGAATAAGACGACACATATCACATAAGGATAACTCACACACACGAGTCTTTTAGTGTCTCCTTTATACCTCCTTTTCATTCTCAAATAATAGTTATGAGCACATTACGAAGAAAACTCCACTAATCCTTAATCAGGGTCGGCTCGACCCGGTTTTCCAACCTTATTACTTCGTATGACACATCACATAGTTTCACATAACAAACATAGGGTCACAACCCTCAAAGGAAACTCCACAATATGTACATAAGAGTTCGAAACCCAAAGTACATGTAAGTTAATTTATTTATTAGTTTGCGAGGAGCGCCAAACGACTCACAACCCTCTAGTCTCCAATATAACATACCAAGAGGGGATTGTACGCAATCTACCCCTCCATCACGGATAATGGTCTAAAGACCTTTTTCATCGTGAATGACGAGCACCTCGGAATCACCCAAAAAGGGAACCCGCCATCTCGATCCCTCGATCTAGCCCATTCGGGATCTAGTTCAAGTTTAGCTAGTTATCCTAAAATACCGGTATACCCTCACGTGTTTGCAAGGCACAGAGGTGGAAGGCTATGCCTTATCATCCAAACAATCGACGAGTTGATCGGACTTGACGGGTAGTTTCAATTACCAATTTGACCAAATACTCAACATGTTCTTAGGCAAATTTCAAAAGAGTGTTTTAAACTCGAAATATTTCAATTGTCAACATTTAACCATGCAAAAGTAGGATATTAGACCCAACAAGTTCGTTATAATTTCACTTTATTTCGCCAAATACACATTCGAAAAATATGTCAATCACAATAGGCATGGTCTAACTCCAAAATCATAATATTTAAATATAATCGTAAATCTTTTTCTAAAACCATAACTAGGTTATGGCAAAACTAGAGTTTCAAACACATCCCATAAATTCTACGATTTTCAATTTAAAATCAAATAATAATCTTCACATAAGCATTATAATCAACTTTCTAGAAGAAATTGGCAAAACCTAACACTTTT